AAAACAATCTGATATAGACTAATCTGGGGGTTTCAGTGAGCAGCCCTTCAGATAATGGTGGAGGTCTTTTCTGGGCTGTAGTGGACTAGGTATGGATGGAAGTCTGTTGTATGTGATTTGCTCTGCCTCTCCCCCCACAAAGAAGCAGCTCAGAGTATGGTCAAATGGTTTATTGTCAGGACCTTTACACAGGCCTGTAGGTTCCATTGTAGCTAAAAGGAGGATATACCCAACAGCCCTTCAATTCCTCTGGAACCCAGCTCTGGATATGGTTGGGGCCTTTGTCCTGGGACCTCACAATTACAGTGTCTCTTGCGGCCATGGATGGGTCTTCTGGGAAGAAGTTGAAAGGGCGCAATAGAAAGCCCACAGAGTTTCCAGGTGTGGCTGTGTTGGGAATGTCCTCTGAGTGGGGGATGTGGAGGAAACCCACTGTCACCCAGGCCACTAGGTCCTGTGAGAGAAAGAGAGTGGACATGATGGGGCGGTTCAAAAAGGATGCTTGCTTCGATGGGGTAGTGCTGAGCTCTAACCAATAGAGGCCGCTCTGGCCTTGGGCATTTTCCGTCATGCCTAGAACCTTTCAGCATCCCCTCAAGCCCCATTTTAGAGGTGGGAAGTTCTTTAATGAACTCCAGATATGCTCTTCCCTCTCAGTCCTGGGCAAGGGCAGGAACAGACAGAGGATGAGTAGGACTCCCCTTTATTGAGGGTGGTCTTGGGACTGGGGCTCAAGGAGACAAGGCCAGAGTTGGGCAGGGCTGGGGGGCAGGGTCATTACCTCATTTTCAATGTTCTCATTGTTTCGAAGAAATTCCTCAAAGACCACAGGTGGGTCCCAGGGGTCGTTCTGGTTGTAGATGCTGCTGCTACACAGCTCTGACTCACGGTACTTGGTCACTGCCAGGGGGTACCTGCCAGGACAGAGGAACAGCCAGATGGCTCTATTTCTGGGAGACCTCTCAGTCTCTTCCAGGAGTTATCTTCAGGGTTACTGATGGGGAAATGTTACTGTGTTCCCTAAATGAGAGATAGCTCCTAGAAGCCAGTGAGCTGGCCACTAACAGCAGAGGCTCAGGATGCTCAGCATGGGTTCGTCATGCTGCTTCCTAAATGCATGGGCACACATAGACACGCACTCAACCACATGCACACAGACAGACAGACAGGCACACACACACACACACACACACACACACACACACACACAAACTCTTCCCAAGAGGAGTCCTTGCCTCCTTCAGGCAGCTCACCTGGCCCAGGTAACAGCCCGCTCCTCCTGCCAGCCAGGGGGTAGCACCTGATCAGCCATGGAATGAATCTGAATTCTGTAGCTGCGTTTGTGGCCCCAGGGGTTTTTCTCAGGGCTGGAGAAGAGCAAGTACTTGGGCAGGTTCCGCCCAAATCGAAAAGCAGCTTGGCGCTCGTGGTGGAGCTGCGTTTGTTCCAGAGTGGGCTGTACCAGTTGGTGTCCTGGGCTCCAGGGGTTGGTGATGTTTTGTAGCTTCATCCCTAGTGTCTGAAAACTATTTTTGGTGCCTGGAGGTGTGCAGGAAAAAAAGAGAATGAGGATATAGCTCCTGACCTGAAATGTTCTCATTCTGCGCTCAGATCACCATCCTGAACCATATCCGTAGTCAGTCACCATTAGGGTTAAAGAGAATGTTTTGGGAGCATGCACTGAGCTGGGTGTGGGGCAGCGTTGTTAAAAAGTCCCAAGTAACTGGAAGATCATATATTGTCTGGGAAGCTGCCGTGATTCCTCTGGGATTCTAGTTGGCTCCACTCCTCTGAGGAGCTACCCCTGAGTCCGATGTCTATGGCTGCAGTCTTTGAGAGAAGGCAGCTCCCAGGCTGGGGAGATGGTGTCTATCATCCCCTCTGAGCCCAAAGGGTAGAATGGGTGACTTTGTTATATCTTATGTGTTGCACGGGGTCCTGGTGTGGTACTGTAGGATTGGCACTCTACCATAAGGTCTATTTGAACTGCGAGGCTGGTGGTTCAAATTCACCAGCCGCTCCTCGGAAACCCTATACAAGGTCGCTATGGGTCAGAACCTACTCGACAGTACTTAATGACAACAACAATACTCTGTACAGCGATATCCTTATCTAAGAAGTAGGATGAGAATTCCCACCCAGAGTCCTAGTCAGTTATTTTCCTCATACTCCTGGGCATCATCCCAACCTGAGTACACATGTCTATTTAATCCTCTTTGTAGGACCCATGAGGGCAGTTGTGACTCAGTGGCAGAATTCTTGCCTTCCCTTGAGAGACCCAGGTTCAATTCCTGACCAGACCACCTCAAGTATAGTCACCACCTATCTGTCAGGAGGTTCACGGCTTGCTTATGATGATGAGCAGGTTTCAGCTGAGCTCCAGACTAAGACAGACTACAACGAAAGGACTGGTGAGCTACTTCTGAAAATCAGACAGTGAAAAGGCTGCACATCTGATCCTGAGAATGTTCCACGTGCGTGGGATTGTCATGAACCAGGGCTGACTGGAAAGCAGCTACTAACGACAGCATTATAGAGTCAGCATCTGTGCGTGAAGACACTGCTATAACCGGGCTACAAAGTTGGTACTGCTAACCGTCACCACTTTTCAGGGCGTAACAGCTTCTAACACTGCAAGTTTCACAGAGCAGGGTGGGCAAATGCTCATGGTTTTCTGTCTCAGGAGAGTTTTGGTGCCACCTCTTGGGAAGGCACCCTGACCAGCAAGGTCCTATTCTGCACCCAGCCCTAGTCCTACCTGCCACATCCAGGTCGATGCGGTAATGCACCAGGTGGGTGTGCATATTGCCAACCAGGTGAGTGTGCAGGCGTGTGCCGTGGTGCAGCCCCTCAGGTGTGTAGAAGGTGGCATGCACATAGCCAGTGGCATGCATCTTGGTCTCCATTACTCCGTTGGGGTAGAAGATGAAATCCCAAATATAATCGTAATTGTAGACGGTGGAAGTGGTTCGAAGCACCAGCACCTGGCCCTTTAGCCCTGCATAGAAGTTGAAGCCTCCACTGAAGTTGGAATTAAAGTGCCGCCTTAGGGGCACTCCCGTTGGCATCTCAAAGAGACAGAGGGCCCGGGGGTAGTTCACGGGACCATCAGAATCATAATAGTGGAGGACATCCACGAAGGTGGCGGTGTCTGGACAGTCGATGCCACGGGCTAGCTCATGTGTGACGCTGCCCATGCCCCATCCCACATCAATGTACTTGGTCTGCATGCCTGCAGGCGTGTGTCCTCCATATAAGGCCACTGCTTCCTGTATGCTCACCTCATAGGCAATGCGCTCTCCATTGAAACGTATGTCTAGGACCTGCAGCCCTGTGGAGGAGCGCAGACGAAAGGCGAAGCTCCAGCCCCCATAGAGCACAGCATTGCCCTCTAGCCGGTAGCGGTGGCCATGGGGCTGGACCAGGTGGGGCCCATTCTTGGTGGTGGGCATGGGGAAGGCCCCACGGGGCTGGTAAGAGGAGAAGAGAGGAGGGTCCTCACTGCTTGGGGGTGGCAGGTCCTCCAGAACTATTATATCCACCTCCCCATTCTTATACTTGAGGGCCAGTTCTTCTGGGCTCCTATAAAACTTCCCATTGTACCAGACCTGCTCTACCACCCAGTCGTGGGCATCTTGGCTCCCATGGTCCAAAAGGAGCTCCAACCCAGTAGGGTGCAAGAAATAGCCTTCCACAAATCTTTGCAGGATAAACCAGGATCTGCGCTGGCCAGAAGCCAGACCTCGGGGGGCCACATCAGTAAAGGTCAGGCACCGGTCTGCACAGTCTTGAAAGGAGAAGCCTGTGGTCTGGAGGAAGAACGGGTGCAGGGGTTTGGTGAGTTCTTGAAGGGCATGGTTAAGAAGAACATACTCAGCAGTGGAGATAGGTCTGGATGCCCAGGATAGGTGGTGCCCAGGTCTGGGAGGCAGCTCTCTCATATAGGAGGGCCATGGCAGAGGTCCCACTGCAAACTCAGTGATATTAGGCTTCTCCTGGGCCCCAAAGAAGATGACAGCACGGGCTTCTCGAACAGGACGCCTTTCACCTTCCTCCAAAAATTTCAGCACATGTTGTTTCTTAGGTAGCAGCATCTCAATGAGGAAGATGGAGTTCTTGGCCAAGGTCATGGTTTTGGCAGGTTCCAGTGCCAACTGCTTCTGGGACCAAAGGTAGCTACGCACAGCCTTCAGCTCCTCGGCACTCAGGTCTGCGAATACCCCAGCCTTACTGCGCAGGGACCACCAGGAGGAGGGCTCCGCCACTGACAAAGTCTGCAGTGCCAGGACCCCAGCGACGATGGCCCAGCCAAGGGCCAGTGCCTCTCTACCCATAGTTCTAGAATGTGGGAGAGGACATGGGGTTAGTTGTGCTATGGGAGGAAATGGATCTCTGCCAAGCTATGGCTTTGAGTAGATGGTTTCTCAGCCCTGTGATGTTCTACAGCTCTAACTTCTCTCTCTTCCAGTTGAGTCTATATGCAGTGGTGCTAGGCTATTCCTACCCCATTTCACTGCCTTAGAAACCAATCCTCTGTGATACCGTGGCTCTTCTTACCATTGTAAACCCCTTCATGTCCCCCTTTCTGCACAGTGTCTTATCACAGGAGGACCTTGCATTCCTTCTCTTTACCTTAGCACTCTGCAGCCAGTGGTGTGAGGGGTCAGAGTGGAGCTGAGGCCCTGCCCCATCCATGGGTGACAAGTGCATTGTCTGTTGGTCAGGGGTAGAGAATAGTTCAACTGCTAAACCACACTTTTGATGACACAAGCTATGTTTTATGTAGATACACTTTGAAGTTTACTGTAGATGTTAATAGTGTACGTTCTGGCAAGGTAGAATCTTCACTGCATAGTATCCAATCTGTCTAGGCGGGGCTGATGAAATGAAATGCAGATAGGTCTCTTGTGATACGATAGTGAATAATTGTTATCAGGACTGATTGTGAGGGTTGAAAATGTAAAGGTTTTGTAGCAAGGAGGGGAGTGATTAACTTTGCAGTCTAGGAGCGGAGGTCCCTGGGACCATCAAGGGAGCAGAGCAGAGAGTGGGACCCTACCCAGAGAAGCAGTGGCACCAGAGATGGAGGCAGAGATGATGATGTGGAGAGATGGAGTAGCTGGGAACTTTAGACCCAGAGAGGGAGAGGGGTTGTGTACTGATGACTGGGGAGGTGGGGTGGGGGGCAGGCTTGCAGGGCATACCCTCTGATTGGTTGATGATGCATGGAGGGGATGGTAACCATGGTAATGAATGTAAAATGAATATAAAACTAATGTTCTCCCATGCAAACTATCACATAATTCACAACAAAACATAAAAAAAAAAGAAAAAAAAAAAAAGTGTATGCTCTGGATTGGGCTGCCTGGACTTGAACCCTAGCAGGCCACACTGTGTACTAGCTGGGTGACCTTGGGCAGGTTACTTAAACTCTCTGGGTCTCAATATTTTCTCAACCTTACAATAGAAATAATGATGACAGTGCCTATCTTCTAAGGTTGTTGGCAGAACTGAATTAGATAATAAGTGTAAGTGTTTAGAATAATGCTTACTTAAGCAATCAAGAAATGCCGCTACTCCTATTCTTTTGAAATAAGTCATAACAAGACCAGCACACTGAAAGTTTTAAGCAACATGGAAGGGTTACGCTTGGATTAGACTGCAGATTGGTGAACTGGGCAGTGGGCTGTGATGCTCCTGCAGCGGGCTCGTCCAGCCAAGGTTACCGGAGTGGTGGTTCAGGGGAGATATCCTTTCTTCTCCCTTCCCTGCTAGAGGTAGGTGTGGACTTCATCTCATAGTCCTATCTCCAGAACTACCAATAAAATCCCTGTGTGGAGCCAAAGGTTCAGACTTCTGGAGGCAGGGTACCTCGGTGGCCCTATGATGTCCTCCCCATGTGGGAAGGGCAACTCTCACGTGCCCAGTATCTACATGCAATTTGGGAGGTGCTCCTCCACTAAAGAAGAGGAGACTGTGTGGAGTTCCAGACTGCTTGAGTCCCACTTGTCACTCAAGTCCCCTTCCCCAACTTTATTTTTATTTATATAGGCAGTGCTGAGTTGGCGCCTGACTGACCAGCCACACCTGTGAGGGGTTGCGTGGCCTCTAAGAGGTCTCTGCCTTCATAAGTAATTGCCCTTTGCCTCCTCTCTAACTGGAGCACCAGGGGAATAAGCCATGATAAAACATTATCTCCTTTCTAGACGGAGAGGTGCAGGAAGCTTACATATGTCCAGGTCTCTCAGCAGCATCTGCCCAGACCCCACCTCCAGCATGGCCAATGCCCACCTGCAGGAGATGCTTTGGGCATAGGGCAGGTGCCAGGGGCCTGCGGTGCATCTAGAGTAGGCCACACAATTGGATTAGGTCTGACTGAGGTACAGAAGCACTTCACTTCCGGGGCATTTACTGGATGGAAGGAGAACCTTCCACCATGAAGACTTTTGTTCTGCCTTTTGGAAAATTTGTTGTTAGGTGCCATTGAGTTGGTTCGGACTCATAGCAAACCTGTGTACAACAGAATGCAACACTGCTCAGTCCTGCACCAACCTCACAGTTGTTGCTGTTTGAGCCCCATTGTTGCAGCCACTGTATTACAAATGTTGCGAACCCACAAACTAAACGTTCATTGAATTTGTATATAATGTGCACTTCTTGGTCATGAGATCTTTGACAGACAGGTGTTTGGTAGGCATGCACTGTCATCTGGGAGCTGTGGCTTTTTTTCCCCTGGATTTCTACCCTGGGGATGTAAGTCCCTGCCCTACTTCCAATGTGCCTCTTATTTTCCTTCCAGGACATACGCCATCCTGGGACCCCTCTCTGGCTGCTCTAATGGGCTGTGGGAGGACAAAGAACTAGCATTCCTGCTGGACATGGCCTGAGATGTTGGGCGTAGGCTGAGGACTTGCCCTACTATTAACTTTTTAAAAAAATGTCTTATTGTGAGTTATGTGGTAGTTTACATGGGAGAACAGTAGCTTTAAATTCATCCTATTGTATATTATTTCATTGCCGTGGTCCCCTCCATGCATCATCAACCATCCAAAGGGTATATACCCTGCAAGCCTGCCCCCTAGTCATCAGCACACAGCCCCTCTCTCTTTCTGGGTCTAGAGTCCCCAGCCATTCCGTCTCTCCACATCATCATCTCTGCCTCCATCTCTGGCGTCACTGTTTCTCTGGCTAGGGTCCCACTCTCCACTCTTCTCCCTTCCTACTATTAACTTTTCACTGAGCTCATTTTACAATCTCTTTTATCCTAACTTCTTTCTACTTTCCTAGAAGGAAGCTGATGAAACAGAGACTTATGGTTCAGAGTCAGGATGGGGTCTGTGACCACTTCCCTGGCAGGATCTCACAAGACCCATGTGCAAGTGAGGCATACAGTGGGCCCATGCACTAAAGGAAACAAAGCAGGTATAACCTCGTTTACCACATCCCTACAACAACCCCTCATCTTATTCAGCAATTTTACCCCACTCTCCACTGTGCGGGCTGAGCTCCAAACCTCTGTGATATTCTCAAGCTCATGTCCCTTCCTGTCCTTGTTGGCTCAGTTCTGCTTCCTTTGTCCTGTGGTCTTGTCACCTTCCTACTCAGCCCCCTTGTCTCTCCCCAAGTGTCCCATCAGAACTTACCTGTGTGCTCTGCTCTGGAAGTGCCTCTGCTGCCAGTCTTTGTCCCTGTTCCAGCCATGCGCTGGCTTTCCTGTCGCTATATGAGTCTACTGGACCCTGCCCTGGGAGGGAGGGACAGGGTGAGGCATGACTGACTAAAGTGGGGGCGTGCAGTTCCATGGGTTCCACAGGGTGAGGGCAACAATGTGATGAAATGCCATTTCTGGCAACTTGTGGCCTGGAGGACTTCTTTTCCTCCTTCAGGTATCCAAGTTCTGAACACCCCTCTATGTTCCCCACTTGATGACCAGGGGTCACCTGTGTTTTCCTGACAGTACATGTGCAGATCTGCTTCTCCATCTTGCCTGTCACTGGGGCATTAGCCACAACAGCCACCCTTGATGTTCTTTGCTCAGAGCGGTGCTGCATCCTCCCTGAAAGTAGCTGGTGAGTTTCTGTGGCCATAGATAAGGATGAGGGAAATTTACTAGTAGATCGTGTCACCTGATAATGCTGTAGGATAAGTACTGGACTGCTAAACAAGTTCAGCAGTTCAAATCCCCAAGTCATTTCTTGGGAGAAAGATGAGGCTTTCTGCTCCCATAAAGATTTACAGTGGAATTGTAAGCTAAGCGCTGGACTGCTAACTTCAAAGTCTTTGACTCAAACCCACCAGCTGTTCCTCACAAACCCTACACAGGGTCGCTGTGAGTCAGGACCAAGTCAATGGCTCTTAACAACAACCAACCCTATATTTTGGTGGGAATTATTTATGGGACTGGACTTGGTTGGATTTGGTTAGTGTCACCTGATTTATAGTTGTGCTGTAAGATAAGCTGGTGGATAAAGACTCAAGCAGGGGGATGGGACTGACACTGGTATCTGGGACAGATTTGGACTCTATGTAGTAATGGGAGCCAGGGACAAACTATTTTGGATGAGAGAAGCCGCAGAGTTGAGACTCTAGAGGAAGTCTCATTAACCAACTATGGGGCCTATCAGGTCTCAAAAAGGGATGAGAAAGAAAGTAGTAGACTTGGGAGATTAGGTCAGGAGGACTGAGGCCATGGCCTATAAGGAGGGGAAGAAAAGGAAGGTTCAAGCATCACCTGGCCAGGGAGGCAGACATGACTAAGACTTCCCAGTTAGGTGGGAAGGGCAGCATGGCAAAAGGGGAGCCTCCATCACGGGAAGAGCAGAGTGGGGCAGTGCACACTAGAGTGCTACTGAGGACTGTGTGTCTCCTGTGACTGTGAGCCTTTTATATCTTACACCGGGCAGGTCACTTCAATGATTATTGACAGTTGCATGATGGGAGATAAGAGAATATCATTAATCAACCTGTTTTTTGGTTTTTTTTTGCAATTACAAAAGGGCACAATGAGAACAAAATAAGAGACTGAATTATACAACATACTATTGTTTTTGTTGTTGTTAAGTGCCATTGAGTTGGTTCCGACTCATAGTGACCCTGTGTACGGTTTCTGAGGAGCATAACGTGGTTACACAAATGTTATGGATTTAGTTGTGTGCCCCCCAAATATGTGTTGTAAATCCTGACCTCTATTAATCCATTTGTGAATAGGTTGCCTTTGTTATGTTAGTGAGGCAGAGTGAGTATGTTGTTGTTTTGTTGTTAAAGTGGGATCGGTTCTGACTAATAGTGACCCTGTATAGGGTTTCCAAGTAGTGGATGGTGAGTTTGAATCACC